ATCCTGGAACGTATAAAATCCTGAGAAGGTATTTCGTTCTGATCGGCGTTAATCAGTTAAATCGGCGACTCCGTTATCGCTAGGCTTAGTGGTAGTATCGTGTCCACAGGGATGTTATCATCCATGCGGTTATCAGCATCGCTATCAGGCAAAACAGCTTCGGTGTTCTTGCTCATAGCGTGATCAGAATACTTGGAAACAAAAGATATCACTTCATTCAATTAGCCAACTTATCATACCTGAACCTACATGGCATTACCTTCGGTCACCAAATGAGGGCGCCAGGTGGCTTTCCAAGGCCCTTCAAGATTTTAAAAAGTGCTCATTCAGAAGATGGGCATACAATTCAACAAGATTTAATCAACACTTTTAAAACTTCCATAGATCAAAATATAAGGTTTGCATTTGTGTCAGAAAAGACGTACACCATATTAAAAAAGATTATATTTTGAAATGTAGATTATATTTTGATCATTTTTAAATTACCATAAATCTGACATTAAATTCAATACTTTATATTAATCCATTGCAAAACATGGTCATTCATACTAAATAATACTTTTGTACGAATTGATTATAACTAATTTTCAATAAGTAGCAGTTAAGTACTATTTCTGTTAATATCCTTTAATTTTGACCAGCACAAGAACTAATGAAAATTAATTGAATTGAAAGATTATTTTTTTATGTATATCAAAATTAGTTACAAATACGTTTTCCTAGAAATTAAAACTTTTAAATAAATAAACAGTAATAAAATTTTATATTAACTGCCATCATGAAAGTGCAGTGGATAAATATTTTGTAAAATCAAGATAATAATATATTTTATGTATACAGAGGCTGTTCATACAAATTTTAGACGATTTTCATTGTAATTACAGAAATATTTTACCTAAAACTTTGTTTTAAATGTTCTGTTTGATAACCCTTATTCTTCACTATTTTTATACACCGTAATTTCCAAGGCAGCCTTTTGTAGTCTCGGAAGAGATATTTTATCCCATAGCTCTCGAACAGCTTTCCAAAGTCTAAGGAGGTTGTAGGTTGACGTTTGGACAACCCGCTTTTTAGAATTCCAGAAGAGGAAAAATACACAGCTGATAGAGCAGGATATTTAGTAGGGATTTGAGTAAAGAGTATAGGCCTTGGTACCCGTTTCTTGTTCCATTTTTTCAGGAAATTAACGGTAGGTTTTGATGTGTCGTTGCTTGCTTCGTCTTCATGCAGTTCCAAACGTTCTTGATAATATGTGGAATTGACGTTAACATTTTTCTCCACTCTTTTCGTTTTTAATTTGTCGTTATATGAAAAACCAGCAACAATCATAAATCCCTTAGAAAAACTTTCTTTCGATTCCTTGAACCATGTTTTAAGATTCCCCCCTCTTTGATGATAATAAATGGATCTCTTTTTATTGCAGTCTCATTTAAGTATACCCAAGATTCCTCTATCGCGACAACATTTTTCCATTTTTGTCTGGATAAATGTTTCTCATAAGGAATTCTGCAGCGCGTTCAGTGATAAGTCATGGAGATAGATAATGTAGATTATGTTTTTTCCACTTTTTAATATTCAAATCAGAATTAATCACTTTGTTTACAGTTGACACTGAGTATTTTAATGATTTTGCAACTGTTTTTACCTCCTTGTACGAAGTAAAAAGAAAGTATTCTAATCGCGAAAAGTTTCAGGCCACATATTTCAACGAAAATATTCATTTTGACCGCTATCGAATGCAATATAACGATGCGTTTGAGAATAAATGACACTTCTTCCCCCCCAAAAAAAAATTATAAAACTGATTTAAAATGAATTCTGAAGAGAATTGTTCATGGCGTCTGTACGTACGTACTAACATATGTATGTACGTATCTCGTATAACTCAAAAGCGAGTAGCCTCAGAACGTTGAAATTTTGCATGTAGGACTGCGGTAACATGTAGATGTGCTCCTCGTATTTTGCAACTAGCCGCACCAAAAGTATATTAATATATGTATATCATTAAAGACATAAAGTAAAAAATTTAGAACTAATATTTTACAAAGACCAGAAATTGAAATTCATAATTAATAAACTTCAAATAATCATAGGAATGCAATAATAAATTTAAAAATTTTAAAAACCAAAACATTTCAAATAAGCAAAACGTATATACAGTCAAAAGTCTTTAATCCGGACTCGTCGGGACTTCGGCGATTCCGGATCATCGGTTTTTCCGGATTATAGATCATCAATTTAAATCTGGTAAGATGACATGTAGAAATTATAAAATTAAAAATATGAAACCGTAATTTATGAAAAAAAGAGCAATTATGATCTAAAGGGTATCAAAATTTACAAAAAAAAAGGTTAATATTTATTTTTTTACTTTATTAAACATTTCTTTCAACGCGCGCATGCGTAAAGTATACATTACGCATAGTCGAAATTAGAAAATTGCAACCAAAAAAACTATTTGATGTGATTCGTGATATTTATAATGACGAGGAATTTGATTTAAATCATATCAAAGACGGAGTACATCGAGATGAAATATTACATTTAGTAAGGAATTATAAGCCGAATAAAATAAAAACATCTGCCCTGAAGATAAGGATAGTGCTGACAGATCAATTTCCAATTCATTGCGCGCCGCGACGTTTTTCGCCCCGCAGAGCAGCGTGAAGTTGATAAACAGATTTCAGAATGGTTAGAAAAACAAAGGATATGCCTTTATCCATTTTTTGCAGCAATTCCACTTTTTGTTTGATGGACATCGAAACATGCTTTCGCTTTGTAGATAAATCCTTTGGCAGCTCCAGAATCGGAAATTCTATTTGATATAATCGAAAATTGAAGCTTACTTTTATAAAATTGCTGTAATAGTCTGCAAAAAATAATAAGCCGGATCCAATTCGAAGATTAAGGAACAACGCAATCTGCAACATTAACTGAAATAGATAATTAGATAATTTTAGCTTAGCGTCCGTTATACATTAAACGCGCATGCGTAAACGTATTATGCGCATGCGCACACGGTGTAAAGGTGTTACGCGCATGCGTAAACGCATATGCGCATTATGCGTTGACGAATGCGCAGAAAGTCTGTAGCTTTGAGGTCCGGATTATAGATTATTCCGGATTATGGGTGTCCGGATTAACGACGTTTGACTATCCACTCTGTTACTCGGCTAAGTGAGCTCAGTTTTTTTATTCTTATATGTTTGTTAAATTGTGCAATTTTTGCTTTAAAAGTGATTGAATTATGTTGTTCTTAGCTTCCGCTTAAGGTTTTTATGTCTTTAGGAAATCTGCAAGCAATATTTGTAGAATTATCAACAATTCGAAAGCTGTTTAAGTGCGGCTAAGCCTTTTTAAATACCATGGCGGTCATGTTTGTTTACATTTGAAACAGCACAATAGTGGATTTGCTGCCAATCTAGAGAAACTGAGCTTCGCAACAACAAATATAACGTCTTCATTTATTATTGCGAATTAAATCATGCTTAATCCATTTTGGAATTTTTTAGAGGAAATAAGCGTTTAAGATTTACTTCATAATTTTTAACATAGATATTTTGAGTTTTTATGCATTTTTGCCTTGTCGAGAAGTGAGAACTGAATTAATTGAATGAGAAATACTGAATCGACTGTGAAAAACTGTTTCTTTTTCTTTTTATTTGTTTAATTTCTTTACATCGTTTTAGATTTATTATAGGCCTCATATTTCAACGAAAATATCCATTTTGACCGCTATCCAATGCAATTTAACAATGTTTTTGTGTAACATCTGTACGTAAGTACAGAATAAAGGAAACTTCTCTCCCCCCAAAAATTATAAAACTGATTTAAAATGAATTCTGAAGAGAACTGTTCGTGGCGTCTGTGCGTACGTATTAACATACGTATATACGTATCTCGTATAACTCAAAAAGAGTAGCCTCAGAACGTTGAAATTTTGTATATAGGACAGCTATAGGGTGTAGATGAGCACCTCCCTTTTTGGTGGCAATCGGCCGCACCAAAAGTAAATAATTATATAATACGTATACCCACTCTATTACTCGGTTCCTTGAGCTCAGTTTTTTTATTCTTATATGCTGGTAAATTATGCATTTTTCCCTTTAAAAATGATTAAATTATGTTATCCTTATCTTCCGATTAAGGTTTTTATGTCTTTAGTTAACCTGCATACAATATCTGTAAAATTATCAACAATTTAAAAATTGTTTAAGTGCGGCTAAGCCTAATTTTTTTACCATAGCAGCCATATTTGTCTACATTTGAAATTTAGCAGAACAGTGGATTTGTTGCCAATCTAAGGAACCTAAGCTTCGCAACAACAACTGTTTCTTTTTTATTAGTCTGATTTCTTTTATACATCGTTTTAGATTTATTATAGTATTTGAATAGAACATGCGGCAACGATTAGATAGTTCTTCATATGATATAAATTTTGTGCATTCTGAGTTATAAAATGAATGAGATGTAACGCCGTTAAGTAACCTAGCGCCAGAAGGTCGCTATGGTAAATAAATATCGTGAATTTTAAAGAGTGCATTTATTCTATTGTGGTTTATGCGCTATCAACGAAGTTGATTTAGTTAAATTCAATAAGTTTAAATGAAATGCAGGAAAAAATGCGCATAATTTAATATTCCGTGCAAGGAAGTCATGTGGTGTACACATCAGAATTTTGTCATTTGTTGTTGACAACATTACCTATCGTAGTTTCAGATATCGAAAAATCACGGCTTTCACTTTTTTTAATAACTAGAGATGAATAATTTTCTTCGGAAAGAACACAAACATAGCCTTCCATCCATTGCTGTTTTAAAAACGACATTTTGCGTGAAAACAAAATTTTCATTTATACTTTCAAAAGTGTCGTTGCAGTTAAAAAATTCCAAGCAGAAGTTCTTTTCTCACAGCAAAACAAAAATCGTCTAAAAATATTGCGAACAGTCTCTGCACAGTGTCTATTTATTTGTAATATCGTTTCATATTATTTCTTCTAGTGGGTCTGGATGTTCACAAGTCATATACATTAATTTATGACTCTGCAAAAATGCACGAAATCAAAAAAGTAATGTTTTTCAATATTTAGTTTGCAAAATAAAAATATATTATTATTAATTAATTATTTTTTTTACAAATTCCTTCGTGCATTTATACATTAGAAACTTAGCTTTTTAAAATTTAGATTACAAAATAATAAAAGATTAAATTATTGCCTTGATGAATTAAATGATATGAATGAAAACACAAAGTGAAATAGAAATATTTTTTTTCATAAGTACTTTTTAAACTTATTAAAATTTTTATGTATTAATAATTAGTGAACTCTTAATTTAATTTAATGTACTATAATCTTTTTCTAACATTCCAGAATGAAATGCAATTACCAGTTTTACCAAACAGTTTGAAAAGTAAGACATTATCTAACATTATTTGTATTAGTTAAGGCATTTATTTCGTTTTCATCAAAATTTTACTGCAACTCTTGACGTGTAGAGGCAGATAGTTTTCAAGGGCAAAGCTTTAAATAGCAAACATTGTTTATTAATAAAACCTCAGTCAGCAAGATAGACTAATCAAATAAAAAAATTTAATATTATAGTAACACTAAATCTGGACTAATGTAAAAGTTTCATTTTAAACTTTAAAAAAAGGAAAAGAAAAATTTCTACCTGTATAATAGTTTTATTATGTAATAATTTTTATTATATGGGTAGGAATTTTTTTTATTTTAATTATATTCTTTGTTTAAGATAACAAAAAGAATATTGAAGAGGATACAAGAAGCTGTTACCATAAATGTCTTGATAAAATATCATGTTCACATGGATGCTGCAAAACTGGAGTTAAAGTGATTATTCCTAAAAAATCTCAGATAGAAAATTTCTTTGACCAGATGCAACATAAAATCAACTCATTACCATCAAAGGTAGTATCATTCATAAACTGTTATAGTTATTAAATTATATTATGCTGACTCTCTGTGGAATTATTATATGTAACCTTATTTATTAATTAATCCAGTACAATTTTATTGCTATGTGAAAATACCAAGCAGAAGAAACAAATATTTCCTCTTTTTTTTTTTTTTTTTTTTTTTTTTTCCTTTTGAGAGAGAGAGAGAGGGGTGATGTAACGATAACCTTTTTTGTTGGAAAAAAAAAATGATTAATGAGTTGATAATTGTATTCAACTCAACTTGGCCAGTTATGTTACCTTAAATGATATTTTCATTTAAAATTAACAAACTACTGTATAGGAACAATTACTTTAAGATTTAAATATAAAAAATATCTTTTAATTCAGAGTATCTCAGGTTTAGGATAAAAAAGCATTGAGGTAATAAATAGTTTACCAGTTTTTGTTTATCATCTCTTTTTTGAGAGGTATTGAGGTAATAAATAATGTTAGTGATTTTATACATATGTAAATAAATTGAGTGAAATTATATGTGAAGCTGTAGGGTGATTTTTTTTTTTAAATTTATTTTTTTTTTTTATAATATAAACATGAAATGATTGAAAGAGGCGAAGCTCTGCCGGAAAAATAAGATTACATTGATAAGTCTATTTAACATTAAAGTAAATGGCTATCTCGCTAAACTGGCGAGACATTGCCAAGCTGAGGGTGTTTTGGCGACTAATTGACTAATGTTTTCGCCAAAGTTGGCAACGTTTTGGTCTAATTCCTGTATAACTGTAATTGGTACTGCAATTAATTGAATATTTGTATTTGATCCCTATATGTAACTGTAACGGTATCCAGCCCTTTTATATGTAACTTTAACCGTATATGCCTTATGTAATAATTTTTATTATATGGGTAGGAATTCTTTTTTATTATAATTATATTCCTTTTTTAAGATAAAAGTAATTTCGTGAAAAAGCACTAGAGATTTCTTGACTGCTGGGGTAAAAATATATAAACCTGGAGAGAGACCAGTTTCAGTTTCTCAGTTCAAAGTTCGACTATGGAGTACTGAGATATCTGTGAGTGAACTTCTCTCTTTAGATGTGCTTTGCATTGCATTGTGTTTAACCTTCTTAGTAGTTTCAAATGTAACTATTGATTGTGCTTTGTGATACTGAGAAGAGCTGTACGACTATTTTTGTGGAAAGCTAAAGAACTGTAAAGTGTGCCTTTTGTTAAAGTAAATTTTATCAAACTATCATTAGTTCGGTGTGTATTCAATATATTATATTACAAACCCGTATGCACGCAACAATAACATAAGAATAAAAATAAGAATAGCACATACAATAACATAAGAATTTATTATAATTGTGTTAAAAATTCAATTAAACATACATTTGTTTTTTCAATTATAGCATGTTTGACTCAATGTCCCAATTATATTCTGATGAACAATATTTAGGGCATATTTAGTAAAATTAGAGAACTATATTACATATAGTTAATTTTTTTACATAGTAATAAATAATTTTTACACATACGCATTTAACAAATATGCGAGAAAATGTGTTAATCATTAGGAACGTTTCCCAAAAATCATACAAGCTAAATATTAATCACATTCACAATCCCAATAAGTCACATAATAAAAAAGAAGTATAGTTGACCGTTTTATCTTCTCATACAGCTTATTGTAAGCAGACTAATAAAAAGCATTGCCATTTCTTCCTTTAATTTATTAAATGCTATTATTTTTGCTTTTATATCTTTTAAAACAGATGACTTATAGTATAACAGTGTGATTAACCTACAACCTACAATATGCTGAATAACCTAGTTCTGTCATTTTTATGAAAATTATTTCGTTGAGATGTATAAGTATGCAAAATTAGTTGATGGTTTTATGACAAAATTGATTGTGGGAGAGGCTTTTAGAAATGAAAAGGAGAAGCCCTTGTATATATTTCAATTTCATTCCTCAACAATGCATGTAAATGCTGGCCATTTTCTTCATTTCCCTGTTTTTATCCTTATGTGCAAGGAAAAAAGCATACATTGTTGATAGCTGAATTAGGATCAAAGGAAAAAAATATTTAAGTATGTGACATACAATAAACAGAATAGTCACAATTTACAATAAATAGAATGTATATCAGAACCTGTAATAAGAAAAAATGGGAGATATATTTTATCTAGTTTTCTGAGATACCAAACTTTGGTATACTGTGTTTTAAATAAAAGAAGTGTATAAAAAAGTATCTCTGGTATTTAAAAATTTTTTAATGATAGTTACTGGGCAGTAGAAATTTGTGCTGATATTTTTTCCTACATTTTTTATATTTTATGTAAAAGAGGAAAACCAGTTTCACTTTTTAAGCTAAAATAGAAGTGTTAAATGTTTATTTTATATGCAGAGCGGAACAACATTATCAAGCTTAAGTGAAGATATGGATCAAGAACCATTACAAATTCCTACTTCAAACAGATTTCAACAACAATGGAAAATCTCAAAAAGTGATGTTAAAGAAATTTCACAAAATAATGCACAAGATGCATATAATGAAGCTTTAATGGAATGTTTAACACCAAATGACCAGTTGTGGGATGAAAAAGCTGAAGGTAATGGAAACTTTTCAAGTATTTTAAATAATATCGTTTTCTATTAATAAATTGATTTAATATATTTATATAGAGATCTGAATTTTCATAAAGGGCTGCTTCACTTGAAATTTTTAAAATTATATTAATGAATTTAAATTAGCATTATATAAATTAGAATAGTTATTTTCACATAAATATTATTAAATATTGTAGAGCTTATCAAATAATGAAATGCACATAATACCAATTAAAATTTACCAGTTTTTAGACAGTATGGGAAATGTTTTCAGTTAAGGTTTACCAAAAATTTATATCAAGTCGTAATTCAATTTTGTTTGGCCTATACGTATAGTATTATGTAAAATCAGTTAATCAACTCCTAATACGGCCCACCGGTGGCCAAGTGGTAAAATCACTGAAGATTAGTAGTTTGACCTGAAAGGTAAATATGAGTCAATTTCCCTCAGAAAGTACACCACTAATGCATCTCTCCAGATAGTTCTTGCAAACTCTGCCATAATTCAATAAACCAAAGCAAACCAAGAGTGCAACCACTGATTCATTTTAAAATTGATTCTGGTAGCACTGATGCCGATACTGGCAAAATTAGTGAATCAATCTTTAAGTTTCACTCTTGAATATGAGTCAATTTCCCTCATAGGATTTTATCTCATAGAATACCTCACTTTTATAAAGTTTTACAGATCTTTCCATTTGATTATTTAACTGATAATCTTTTCGTAATCTGTTGGGAGTGAAAATCTCTGAATATGTTCTAATATTGTTACCAGGGCTTTACTTTCAGAACAATGCATGTAATATATCAATTGATTTAAAATTTCATTGCTTTTTTCTTACCTCAATTCTATAAAGTTTTACAGATCTTTCCATTTGCTTATTTAACTGACAATTTTTTCGTAATCTGTTCGGAGTGAAATTAATAAAATTGCAAATTCTGCGATGATTAAATAAACCAAAGCAAACCAAGAGTGCAACCACTGATTCATCTTAAAATTGATTCTCGTAGAACTGATGCCGATACTGGCAAAATTAGTGAATCAAACTTGAAGTTTCATTCTTAATTTCTGATATTTATATAAAATATAAATTTATTTGCCAGTTTGTTTCCTGTCCCAAGAAGAAATACAGAACATTCAGTTCAAATGGTAATTCAGCAGTAAGCAATTCAGCAGTAACATTAAGTTTATTTAACAAAATTTTGAGAAAATTAGATAAAGGAAACTTATCTGTGCTCAGAAAGTTTTTAATTCACACTTGCTCTAAGAATCGGGCTTTTTGCATATTTGCTTGGACATATTACAGTTTTACTAAGTATTTAAGAAATTTGACGTTACATTTCAGAAAATGACGTTTTATCTTGTGTATTGGCCAATTTTTTTTTTTTTTAAAACTAAAATAAGCTCTTGAATTGCTCTTTCCTCTTTATAACATTCATATAAGTTTTGAGCTGCAATTTATAAGATCATTCTGAACAACGAGAAATATCCATACTAAACTTTGATTACTTATTTATTCCTATTTAAATGTGCCAAATTTATACGACTGAAGCGATCAGAAGCTGTCGCACGGGAGCTCTTTTGCAAAAGCAATATGATATTCGACTGTTACATAACAGACCTGGGATCGAATCCTAAGGTTACTATTATCTTCAAATGCATTACATACCAAGCAGCACCAAGCAAGCATATACTCATGTAATCACTACATCACTTTATCTGCATTGACACTAGCTGATTGATCAAAGCCGTAAAGGGAAGCTTTTCTTTTGAAAAACAATGAATGTGATATATCAATTGATTTAAAATTTCATTGCTTTTATCTTACCTACTTTTATAAAGTTTTACAGATCTTTCCATTTGCTTATTTAACTGACAATCGTTTCGTAATCTGTTGGAAGTGAAAATCTCTGAATATGTTCTAATATTGTTGTCAGAGCTTTACTTTTTAAATTAGAACTGTTGGAATTCTATGAAAGCTCTCAGGAATGCTGAACAATAATAAATGAATAAAATAATCAGAGATGTATTTACCATTAAGCAAAATGAGCATACATTTAAGGCATCAAAAAAAAAAGGAACTTAGGACATCAAAAGAAAGGCACCATAAATGTTTCCTATTTCCAATTTTAACATGGAGCAGCTGTATTAAGAAGGCATGGGAGGGACAGACTGTAAATGTATGGGGCAGCACCAAAAGGTTTTAAGCGTTTAGAGACTTCAGAAGTTTTAACCTGTCTTTGAAAACAATATCTGGTTGCAACGAAAGTTTTCCACCAAAAAACATTCTTAATAGAGTTAGAAACATGAAAGCAATACCTTTAGTGCGAGTTATAATCACCAACCAAATCTATGATTTTCTGCCAATGTCTTGGTAGGTTTTCAAAGCCTTCGGCCTAGAAACTTCGACCTTCGGCGAGTACAAAAACAGGTCAACTTCATTTGGGACGTCCTGTGGAGAATGGAAGATAGTACCAACAAGATGTAGCTGCAGGTGTGAAAAAAGGTTAGAAGTCCGAAGGAGCATCTCTGATTATCTGTGCTATTTGACAGTTTACAGCTAGGAAAAAAAAAAAAAAAAAAGCTTCTTTTGGCTAAGACAAAGCTTTCTCAGAAGCTGCCTTGATATTTGAGGTATATTTTCTTCTCATCTGCCTTTCTTTTCGCAACGAATAAATTGTGATGTATATTTAAATTAACTACAACTGTAACTGTAACTGAAAATAACTTTAACTTAGCATTCCGTTGTTGTGATGCACGTGTTACTGTGCTAGCTGAATGTCATATGAACTGTTTAAAAATGTAATAATAAAAATTTTGAATTCTCGAGTTATACTCATTAGTTGAGTCTTCTTTTAAAGTACAGAAGTAAATTAAATTCAACAAACTACACAAGAAGTTACATGGTGTCAGGAGCAAAATGAATTTTAGACCACCTGCTCCGCTAACATTCTCCGTCGGAAATGTTAAAGAAAAGTGGAAAAAATGGAAACAAGAGTTAGAAAACTATTTACTTGCAACGGAAAAAGATGCCAAGCCAGATAAGACTAAAATTGCAATCCTTTTGAATTTACTCGGTACTGAAGGACTCGAAATTTATAACACGTTTCGATTTGAACCACCTGAGAATAAGGAGAAATACGAAGAGGTCTTGAAGTCTTTTGAAGATTATTGTTCACCACGGCAGAATGTCGTATATGAACGTTACAAATTCTTTTCGTGTAGCCAGCAAGAAGGACAAACAATTGAATGTTATGTCACTCAGTTAAAGACTTTAGCGTCAACTTGTGAGTTTGCTGAGCAAGAAAATGGATTGATTCGCGACCGTATTGTATTAGGCATTCGGGATAGGAGTCTGACCGAACGTTTGCTTCGAGAATCTAACCTAGGATTAGAAAAAGCTATAGAAATAGTTCATGCCGCTGAAACAAGCAAAGAGCAACTCCGGAACATGAAAGATGATCCAGCGACTGTGAACAGCGTGAAGAAATATAGAAAACAGCAGCATCAATCAAAACAGTCAGTGCCACCGAAATTATCGTCTCAGCAGAAGCAATCAGCACTAGAATATGACTGCAAGAAGTGCGGAAGAAGGCACAAATATCGGGACTGTCCAGCTTTCGGAAAAACGTGTGCGAAATGCAAAGTAAAGAACCATTTTGCCGCGAGGTGTCCCAAGAACATTTATGAAGTTGGAATACCAAATAATGAACTTAGTATATATAATGAACATAGTGTATTTGTTGACTCTGTAATGATGAATCCACCAGTAAACGGGCATACTGAATTTAAAATAAGTGCAAAATCAATTAAAGATCTAACAAATTCTATTGATGAAGTAAATAAGGATATTCACAAGGTAAGTGAAAATGAAACATGGGTGAAAAGTATTACAATGTATGTAAATAATAAGTATTTCAAGGTTGATTTTAAGTTAGATACTGGTGCAGAAGTAAATATTTTGCCTTTGTATGTTTTAAATAATGTTAAACTTAAGCCTAAACTTAATGAAACTGATTTGTTCTTAACTGCATATGGTAATTTTAAGTTAAAACCAGAAGGTACTCTTATAATTAATTGTTCAACTGAAAGGCTTAAGAATGTACCTTTACAATTTTATGTTCTTGATGTAAGATCTAAGCCTATATTAGGGTTAACAGCTTGTTCTGCATTAAAGCTAATTGAAAGGATTGATTCTTTAAAGTGCAATATCATTAATAAAAATGATTTAATTGGTCAGTATCAAGATGTATTTACAGGCACAGGGCAATTTCCTGACGAACCATATCATATAACCCTTAAAGATGATGCAATACCAGTAATACACTCCCCAAGACGTGTTCCTCAGGCTTTACAGCCTAAATGAAAAGATACTTTAGATAAACTTGAAAGAGAAGGGATAGTATTGAAAGTAAATAAATCAACTGATTGGGTTCAAAGTTTGGTTATAGTTGAAAAACCTAATGGGAGTCTGAGATTATGCTTGGATCCTAGAGATCTAAATAAAGTAATTAAAAGGGAGCACTATCAAATTCCTTCTCCAGATGATATAATTAGTAGGTTAGAAGGTAAAAATGTATTTTCAGTTGTAGATTTAAAAGATGGATTTTGGCATGTACCACTAGATGAAGCTAGTTCTGAACTATGTACATTTAATACGCCTTATGGAAGATATAAATTTAATAAAATGCCATTTGGAATATCCTCCGCCCCAGAAATATTTCGGAAAAGAAACCAAAAATTATTTGGTGATATTGAGGGTGTGGAAGTTTATTTTGATGATATCATAATTGCAGGATCTGATGAGGTTACTCATGATATAATTTTCTCTAAGGTTCTTGAAAGAGCTAGGTCTCTAAATATAAAATTTAATCCTGATAAATTACAATATAGGGTACCGGAAGTCAAATATGTAGGCCAAATTATTTCTGAGTCAGGTGTAAAAGCCGATCCTAGTCATATTAAAGCAATTATTGATATGCCAACACCAAAATCAAAAAC